CAGTAACGTCTCGGGTTTTCTTGAGGCCTTGGCTCCAGCAGGATTGTTGGAATCTATGGTCCGCCCATCTTCTGTGACAGACCAGGCGCTGTCTGCCTTCAGCGAGTTTGATGAACGCGGGGGTGCACTTGGTGACAGCGAATCTTGCTCATTTGAGAGGAAAGAGTTTGAGAGCTTAGGAGTGGGAGGCTGGAGGTGGGAGGGAATAGCGGAAGATGGAGGGGAGAAGGGGGGAGCAAAAGAAGCAGGGAGGAGACGAACAGGAAATTAGTTGGTGGAAGGTTAGGAAAGGAAGTTAGTTGGGGCAAGGTGGGGGTTGGCTCACTTGCCTTCCAGCAATCTTGCTCACACCAGAAGAGGCTTTTGGCAGTGAGTAGGGAAGGAAGAGAGGTTATTTAAAATGAATTTTGTGTTTTATGTCACTTCTTTAAAAAAAAAATAAGTACCTACATTTTGATATTTGCAAATGTTCCTTTGGTATAATTGTTCTTCCCATTCGATTCCAATAGGCCGTCCTCAGTTGTCCCGGGGTGAAGACACTGGGCAGTGCCCCCCCACACCTGGGGAAGATTCATAATCACGCCCAGTACTTTTGCGGGTTACTCTCCTAAAATGCTGCTGTCATCTCGCAGGGCAGGTCTTCTTTGGGAGATACTGCTGCTGATACAAGCCTGGAAGACTCTGGGCGGTGAGTGTCCTGGGAGCTCCAGACATGGCTGGGAGGGGAAGGAGGGGAGGAAAGGGAAGGGCTTCCCCCAGGATTCAGGCAGGTGAGTGCCTGTCCATGTGCTCTCACCAGGGTGAGGGTGTGGTTTAGCTGGACTGGCCCCCAGGTGTTACTGACACCAAGATGAGGGGGAGGACCCCAGCCTCAGGCACCCCGCCTGGTACTGTGCTCACATATGGCGGCTCGCCCTCTCCTGCCAGGTTCCATCTTCTACTCCGGGAAACTTTTGCTGAATACCAGGACCATCAGGAATTTGACATGTGTCCCATGGTGTCTGTTTTTCCTTTTTGTTGAAAGTCCTGTCTGTTCAGCTAGATTTTAAAGCCTGGGAGGACAGACACTGTCTTGTATTTTTTGTATCTCAGTACTTGGTAGATGTTGCTTAAAATATTTGTCAAATGATTCCTCCTGGTGACAATACGTGCACATGAGGGGTCCATGGTATCATGTATTTTACATCAGAATGTTTTACTAAACCTCCGCCAGGTAAAGGTGAGTCAGGACAAGGATCCAGAAGATGGAGGAGGGCTGGGATGGAGACTCCTCCCTCCACAGCCAGGCCCCCCACAGGGAGTCCCAGGGCCACCCCTGCGTTTTTCTCTTACAGGTGCTCACTCTCTTTGCTTGGAATTCACTGTCAAATCTCAGTGCAGGCCTGGACAGCCCTGGGGTGAAGTTCAGGGCTCAGTGGATGAAAAGCCTTTCCTTCAGTATGACAGTAACAGCAACAAGGTCAGACCTTTGGGTGTCCTGGGGGAGAAGGTAAACGCCACCAAAGCATGGATGGACTTGACTCAAACACTGGGAGAAGTGGGTCGAGACCTCAGGATGATCCTGCCTGTCATCAAACTGGAGAAAAAGGGGACCAGGGGTAAGTATGGGAAGGGGTGGGGAGATGGAGACAGTCAGCAGGAGAGCGGGAGGAGCAGAGCACATGCAGGGAAGGGGCCTTGAGTAAAAGAACTGAACATGGGTCCAGCCTTAGAGACGAGGTGGACCTAATGGGCAAGAAAGGGCGGGTCATGGAGAGAAGAATACAGACCCATGAATGTGCAGACACACTTGACCTGATGGGAGATGGTGGAGCTCTCAAGAGTCGAGGATGATGATGTCTTGTGGGTGGGGTTGCAGGTCTTCGCACTATGCAGGTCAAGCTGTCTTGTCAGCGTGAAGCAGAACGACGCACTGGTGCATCCTGGGAGTTCAGCATCGAAGGGCAGACAGCCCTCTTTGACACAATGACCATGAACTGGACAGTCGTTGATCCTGGAGCCAGAGGGATCAAGGAGGAGTGGGAGAACCACCAGGAACTGGCAAAGCATTTCAGGAGAATCTCAACTGGAGATTGCAATCACTGGCTTAGGGAATTCTTAGAACACTGGGAGAAACTGCTGGAACCCACAGGTAACTGAGCAGAGGGCAGGGGATGAGATAGCTCTCTGGAAGGTCTAACGCCTTCCCTGTGTGCATGTGAGTCTGTGTGTATTTGAAAATTTTCTGGATGAGTCAATTGATTGATATCTGGTGGACTTCCTGTCTGGAGAGTCAGTGACTGCCATAGGATGTCCCACCATCCTCCTTTCCCATCCCCCTCCCTCAGTGCAGGAGCCCCTTCCCCCATTGATCAATGGTCCAGTTGCCCTGGACTAGATGTCCCCAAATCTCTATGCACCATTGTGCTTCCAGGCCTTCTCTTCTTCCTCTGTTTTAGTTATTTTTTAATCAGCTCAAATGACACTTCTTATGAAGACTTCACCACATTCCCAGATAGAACTAACTAATCCTCCCAAATTCTATCATCCTCATAAAGGTCTACCCACAGTAAACATGTCACCCTGTATGGTGATCAGATGGACATTTGCTGTCTCCCTCCCTAGAAACATGAGCTCCCTGAGGACAGGGCACAACCCCTGTTCATCTTTATTCCCCAGGACCTGATAGAGTGGCTGTCATAATGAGTCATTAAATATGTGGGGGGACATGTGCTGCCTTGGAAAGTGGGTGTGAGGAAGGTGTATGTATTCTTAGGTTTGTAAGGGCTTTTGTTTTTTTCTTTGTTTTAGAACCACCATTAAAGGCCCCAGACACCCACCAGTCTTCATCTATGTGGATAATCATTGCATCAGTCCTTATTGGCTCAGCCCTAATTTGCTTAGTCCTAATTGGTGTCATCATCATGAAATGTAGGAGGAGATCAGGTACCAGGGAAGGGGAGAAGCAGGCTGGGCTCGGGCTCCTGGGGAGGACATAGTCTGACAAGCACTTGGGAGAGGTGAGCCTGGGTCTCAGCCAAGCCCTTGTCCACTGATCCAGCTCTCCACAGAGACGATGCACTTTCACAGCAGGGCTGGGGATTGCTCTGTTGTTGGGGTACAGAGGCTGTTATAGGCAACATGATAGTGCGGCGAGGGGACAGGCAAACCAAGAATCTGCTCCTGTGTGGAGCAGGGGCTAAGATCTAGAAGGCCTGGGGTCTGGTCTCATCTTGTCGTGATCTAACCAAAGCTTCCCTCAGACCTTTTGGGAAAAAGTTTTTTGCTCTCTGAGGACAGCATGATTTAGCTCAACAATTTTTCTCGTGTTGTAACAGCTGACCCATCATCTGAAGTTTCCTCTCTGGACTGTGAGAAGGTGATGTTAGACCAACCTTTGGTGGCAAAACCTAACTCTTGATGACAGTCTGGCTGCCAAGCTAATCTGCGATCTTCTATTCAGAGGGGGGTTTCCAAGAAGCTAAGAAGCTCAGCCCAGAACCCTTCACCTGCACCAGCTCCTCTCCTGGCCCTCCTTACAAGGTGCTGACTTGGTCATTTTGAGAAATTTGCAAAAGTAGGATATTTGCTGACAGTCAATTGGGACAGCCAATTTCACACTGGCCCTCTTTCCATGAGACTTCCATCCATGTCAGGTGGAATTGGAGCGGCTGCTGGCATTGTTTTTATTCAGTTAAAGGAAGAATACTTAAGAATATGTTTATTTCGGTTTAATGAGATATATTTGTGTGCTCACACTCACTTTCGTGTACAGATAAGTGATTGCTACACAGAAACCACAAGTCAGCTATGCTGACACTAGATGTCATGACGTGTTAACGTGCCCTGTGCTGCCTCCAGAGTACAAAGGATAAATAAAGTGTGATATATTTACAAAGGGAACACTATACAGAAACTGATAGAGAATAAAACCCGAATGCGTCTTCTAGATAGGATGTTCAGGGGGAAATGTCAGACAGAGAATATCTACTCTAGGATTGCGCTTATAGAAATTTCAAAACCAGACACCACCGATCTTTGGCGATAGACGTCAGAACAGTGGCTATCCTGGGTAATGATCTAGAACTTGATCCTACAGGTGATTATGCTGGTGGGTTTCATCTTTAAAAATACATCAAGCTAACCATTAAAGATTTCTGTACTTTACTGTAGAGATGTTACATTTCAGCAATAAAATGTTTTAAAATTTTGTTGTAGAGGTTTCATTTTTCATTAATGTCTTGACAAATTGGTAGTTCTCTCTCGTCAGGAATATACTCAATGATGAATTAAATTATAAATACATTATACATTTTTTTCTGATGGGAATCAGACACACTATTCACACTTATATAGAGAGATAGAGACAGAGACAGAGAGACAGAGACAGCGACAGAGACAGAGACAGAGGGAGCCATGATATGCCAGACACAGTGCTGGACTTCCACCAGCTGGTCCTCCTTCTCTATCACCGCCCTCACACTAAGAATTCATTTCTTTCTTCCATTGCTTTCATCACCATCCTCATAGTGTCCTCTCCAGGTTGACCCAGGCAGACCTCAGAAATTTCAGGACAGCACTTTAGAAAAGTTGGCAGCTCTGGGCTTAAGGTACATTCCTGGGGCTCTCTGTGGAGTCCAAAGTTAAGCTTCCCTCTGATGAGAAAAATAACCTCCTCCATCTGTGATTCAATGAGGAGAATGTTACTGATGGAAGAAATGATCCACCCTTTTACTTGCTTAAAAGAATACCAGGGTTCAGTCTGTCTCTATGGTCCCAATATGATCTGACCCAAAATCTAGCACAAGCACTTGTTTCTCTCTGAAGGCCAAACAAACATGGTTCCAAGATGTGACAGCATGGCTCAGCTCACCAGAGAGCATGGCTCAGCTCACCAGAGAGCATGGCCCAGCTCACCAGAGCTCCTGAGTGTCTGACAGTGGCTGCTTCCCCATTCTGGCACCTGAGAATGTCACAAGACTCAGTGTGTCACACCCTATTGGTGTCATAACATGTCTTCCTGCTTTTCTCAACCACCCAAGGATTTGTGGATTTCAGGAAAAGAATGCTTTCTCATACCTCATCCCAGGTCATGCCTCTTTTTGCTGGTGGTCCACTCTGGGCATAGGCACACCTGTACATGTCCACTAAAAGATGTATTCAAGAATATTCATGGCAGCTTTATTCATCACAGCCCCAAACTGGAAAACCACCAATGTCCATCAGCAGGTGAATGGATACATAAGTTACAGTTCTGTGGGCGGAATACCACACAGCATTACACAGGATAAACTACTGTGACACATAACAACATGGATATATCTCACAGACCATATAATGTGCTATTCCATCTAGATGAAGTTCAAGAACAGGCAAAACTAGTTCGTGGTAGTACAAGATAGAATAGTGGTTGCCTCTGAGCAGGGAGGTTTGAGTAAAAAGAGAGTGGGAAGCCTCTGCAGTGGTAAGAATATTGTTATCTTGATCTAGTGGTGGGTACACATCTAAATATGTGAAAATTCAATGATTGCACTTAAACTCACACTACTTGATATTAAACTTTTTTAAGTTATTGTAATTAGAACACCGACATTTTGGTAGAGATAGAGAAAGATTAGACCAATGGAACAGAAAAGAGAGCCCAGAAACAGACCTATGCACTTCTGGACACTTGGTATCTAGTGGTACAGAATGAGTATAAGTGAAGACTGTACTAATCACTAAATGGCAGAGGGATAGTCAATCGCTTCATTGTGTAACAAATAGTGGATCTCTATCGAATGGGATGTTATGGGTTGAATTGTTCATCATATCTTCCTCAATCCCAACTCTACTCCAAGTGACTCCTCTTTCAGGCATTCCATCTGGATTCTGAGTCCTGAGCCTGTTGTGTCCTGACCCCTCTGCCCACAGGACCAGTCCTGTGAGGAC